GATGTCTTTGATGTCATTCCACAGCTCGTCTAGTCTTCAGTCATTATCGTTCAAGATGTCAAATCTATTCCTGAGATGGTCTCTAAATTGAGACCCCACAAGTGTGTCAGTTTGTCATACTGTGGTGGCTTGTGTGCTGCTGGGATGCTGGAAGCTATGCCACCGGTATTTCAAATATCAGCAGTGTCACCCATGGTGGACAGGCTTCAGCTGAACTTCCAGACTAAGACAGACTAGGAAGAAGAAACTGGAGGTCTACTTCTGAAATAATTAGACAGTGAAAACCTTATTAATAGCAGCCAAACATTGTATGATATAGCACCAGAATATGAGCCCCTCAGGTTGAAGGCACTCAAAATACGACTGGGGAAGAGCTGCCTCCTCAAAGTAGAGTTGACCTTAATGACATGGATGAAGTCAAGCTTTTGGGACCTTCATTTCCTGAGGTGGCATGACTCAAAATGAGAAGAAACAGCTGCAAACATACATTAATAATAGGAATGTGGGATGCATGAAGTATGAATCTAGGAAAACTGGAAATCATCAAAAATTTAAAAAAAAATATAAGCATTGATATCCTAGGCATTGTTGTTGTTGTTGTTAGGTGCCGTCAAGTTGGTTCCAACTCATAGTGACCCTATGCACCACAGAATGAAACACTGCCCGGTCCTGCGCCATGCTCACAATCATTGTTATGCTTGAGGCCATTGTTGCAGCCACTGTGTCAGTCCATCTCGTTGAGGGTCTTCCTCTTTTTCACTGACCCTCTGCCAAGCATGATGTCCTTCTCCAGGGACTGATCCCTCATGACAACATGTCCAAAGTATGTAAGACGTAGTCTCGCCATCCTTCCTAAGGAGCATTCTGGTTGTACTTCTTCCAAGACACATTTAGTCGTTTTTTTGGCAATCCATGGTATATTCAACATTCTTCACCAACACCACAATTCAAAGGCGTCAATTCTTCTTCGGTCTTCCTTATTCATTGTCCAGCTTTCACTGCATATAATGTGATTGAAAATACCATGGCTTGGGTCGGGTGCACCTTAGTCTTCAAGGTGACATCTTTGCTTTTCAACAGTTTAAAGAGGTCTTTTGAGACAGATTAGCCCGATGCAATGCATCTTTTGATTTCCTGACTGCTGCTTCCATGGGTGTTGATTGTGGATCCAAGTAAAATGAAATCCTTGACAACTTCAATCTTTTCTCCGTTTATCATGATGTGGCTTATTGGTCCAGTTGTGAGGATTTTCGTTTTCTTTATGTTGGATTGTAATCCATACTGAAGTCTGTGGTCTTTGATCTTCACCGGTAAGTGCTTCAAGTCCTCTTCACTTTCAGCAAGCAAGGCATTAGTGAGCTAAAATGGACTGGTAGTGGCCATTTTGAATCAGGCGATCATATGGTCTACTATGTCAGGAATGACAAATTGAAGAGGAATGAGGTTGCATTCATTGTCAAAAAGAACACTTCAAGATTTATCCTGAAGTACAACGCTGTCAGTGATAGGATAATATCCATACACCTACAAGGAAAACCAGTTGATATGACTATTATTTAAATTTATGCACTGTCTTAGTCATCTAGTGCTGCTATAACAGAAATACCACAAGTGGATGGCTTCAACAAAGAGAAATTTATTCTCTCACAGTCTAGTAGGTTACAAGCCCAAATTCAGGGCTTCAGCTCCAGAGGAAGTCTTTCTCTGTCGGCTGTGGAGGAAGGTCCTTGTCATCAGTCTTTCCTTGGTCTGGGAGCATCTCAGCACAGGAACCTCAGGTCCAAAGGACGTGCTCTACTCCCGGCACTGCTTCCTTGGTGGTATGAGGTTCCCATGTGTCTCTGCTCACTTCTCTCTTTTACATCTCTAAAGAGATTGGCTTAAGACACTACCTAATCTTGTAGACCCCATCAGTATAACTGCCGCTAATCCATATTATTACATCATAGTGGTAGAATTTACAACACATAAGGAAATCACATCAGATTACAAAATGGTACACAGTCATACAATACTGGGAATCATGACCCAGCCAAGTTGACAGATATTTTTGGGGGACACAATTCAATCCATGACATGCACCAACCACTAATGCAAAAGATGAAGAAACTGAAGATTTTTACCAACTTCTGCAGTCTGAAATTGATCAAATATGCAATCAGGATGCATTGGTCATTACTGGTGATTGGAATTCAAAAGTTGGAAACGAAGGATCAGTAGTTGGAAAGTATGGCCTTGGTGATAGAAACGACGCCAGAGATCGCATGATAGAATTTTGCAAGACCAACGAATGCTTCATTGCAAATACCTTTTTTCAACAACGTAACTGGCAAGTATACACGTGGACCTCGCCAGATGGAATACACAGGAATCAAATCAACAACATCTGTTGAAAGAGATAATGGAAAAGCTCAATATCATCAGTCAGAACAAGGCCAGGGCCCAGCTGTGGAACAGACCATCAATTGCTCATATGCAAGTTCAAGTTGAAGTTGAAGAAAATTAAAACAAGTCCATGAGAGGCAAAGTACAAACGAGACTATATCCCACCTGAATTTAGAGACCATTTCAAGAATAGATTTGGCGCATTGAACACTAATGACCAAAAACCAGACAAGTTGTGATTATTGATAGCATATAAAAAAAACTTTAAAAAAAATTTTTTTACTTGTATTTAGCCAGCATACCAAAATAGCTCATTAATCCTGGTAATGTTTTTCTTATACTTTCTTGAGTTTTCTAGGTATTCCATCATATTATTGTTTCTCTCCCGCTAATTACACTGATTATTTTCGGTTACTCCCTTCCTCCACTTGCTTGAATCTCAAAAACAATACCAAATAATAGTCGAAATTATTTGCATCTCTTTCTTGTTCATAGTTTTAATGTAAATGGCTTTAGTATTTCACAACTTAAACTGTCTTTTCTTCTCTTACTGGTTAGGACATTCAGTGTAATGTTGAAGAACAGTCGTGATGATATTGATTATCCTTTTCCTTTACTGATTTTAAAGAGAGCATTTCTAAATTTCACCATTTAACATGATGCTTGCTGTAAGTTCTTGATGAATATCTTTTAAGAAAGTTAATTAATAGATTTGTTTAATCCTTCAAATATTTAGTGAATATTTACTGTATGTCAGGTATTATTCTAGGTACTTGGAACATATCAGTGAATGAAACAGGCAAAAACTCTCAGCTCTGGTAGAGCTTACATTCTAGTAGAGAGAGAGATGGGAAATAGAAAGCATGTTAAATGATGATAAATGATAAAAGAGAAAAAATAAAGTAAGGAAAGGAGTTAGTGAGTGTTAGATATAGGGGAGAGGTTGCAATGTTACCTAGGGTGGCCAGGGAAAGGCTTCACTGAGGAGGTGATATCAGAAAAAAAAAAAAAAAAGACCTGGAAAATAGACTGGGAACAGGATATGTAGTTATATAGGGAAATCACTCCATCTAAGGGAAGACCAAGCGCTAAGGCTCTCAGGCAGGAGCTACCCCGGCCTGTTTGAAGAACAACAAGGAAGCCAGTGTCACAAATGTAGTGAGTAAGGGAGTAGTAGGAGCTGCAGTCAGATCACGTGGGTCTTTGTAGACCATGTAAGGACTTAGACTTTGACCCTGAGTGAGATGGACCCATTGGTGGGTATTGAGACATCACTGACTTCTGGGTGGAGAATAGACTGTAAGGGAATAAGAGTGAAAGTAGGGAGATCAGTCAGGAGGCTGTTGCAGTGATACAGGGTAGAGATGGTGGTAGCTTTAGACTAGGGCAAGGGACAGTGGCGGTGGTGGGAAGTGAACAGATTGTGGGCACATTTTGAAAGGTAAGCTGGCAGGAGATGGATAGAATGTTTGGTTGGAGAGAAAGAGAGGTGTTGAGGATGATTGACCACTCCGCATTTGTTAGTGGTTTTTTTAATGAATAGGAATTGATTTTTATTGAACACTTTTTTCTGCATATATTCATGATTATATGGTTTTTCTTCTTTAATTTATTAATGCCATGAATTACATTATTTGATTTTATTATGCTATATGAACTTTGTATTCCTAAGGGGGGGACATCTTGGTCATTTGGTGTTAAATTTTTGTATATTGCTGAATTTGGTTGCTAATATTTATTTAGGAGTTTTCCATCTATGTTCATATGGAATATTGGCTTATATTTTTTCTTTCTAATGTTGCTTTTATCTAGTTTGGGTATCAAGTTAATAAGAGCCTCTTAAAATGAATCAGGGAATATTCTTTTTTTATCTTCTGTGGAACTAGTTGTGTAAGATGGGGATTTCTTTTCCTTAATGGTTTGGGAAATTGCCTGTAAAAGAAATCTGGTCTTGATGCTTTCTATTTTTGTCCCAGTGAATGTATTTTAAACTATATACCCTATTTCTTTGATGATTATATGTCTATTGAGATTTATTATTCTTGAGTTAGTTTTGTTTAGCAATATACATTTTAGGATAATTGACAATTTTCTTCTAAGTTTTAAATTTATTGGCAGGTAATTGGTGATAGAATTCCCTTAGTTCCCTCCTCACTTTGATATATGGAGACATTACTTGTCTTTTTCTAGCCTCTCCATCCTCTTCATCCTCACTTCATTCATTTTGTAAGTTAAAATATTTGAAATTGTATTTTTTTTCTACTACTTATCTTTGAAAATGTATAGTATTACCACCATATCTTCTGCCAAATAGGCTTTTAGGAGCACGTATGGGAACCTAATTACCATTTAAAGCACTGTTTCTACAGATAAATGAGCTTTGATTTCTAGACAAGTGATTTGTCAGTGAATTTTATAAAGTATTCTGAGATTGGGAAAAAAACTGTATATTCTAATGAGAGATTTCTCAGGACCTGCAGCTTCCAGTAAAATTTTCTAAAGTCTCCATTCTCAGTATAGTGCAAGCTACATTTCCCGATCTTCTCTCTATAGACACCACATCTCTGCCTTGTTATGTATGTGTGAATGATAGTTCAGTGGTGTTTCTTTTTAAGGTATCCTCACCTGAGCCCCAAGTACAAGGAGTCCTTTGATGTGGGCAGTAATCTCTTTGCCAAGTTTTCTGCGTACATTAAGAACACGCAAAAGGAAGCAAATAAGAGTAAGACACCTTTCTTTAAGTCTATTTCTCTCACTCCCGTGTTCACTCTCACATTCTCACTTAGCTAAAATGGATTTTCCCGAAGATATGTATATGTTGGGGAACAGCCTACTCTCTTCCTCTTGGTTCTCTCCTCTGAAATTCCCTTGCATGAAGTTTTATTAGATTTAGAACCCAAGATTCAATATGGAAATTACCAACTTAGCTCGATTAGAGCGTTGGCATATTACCTTTAAGGTTCTTTAAACTGTAGCATCTACCATCTCCCATAAACATCCTTGAATAGGTTTACTATCCTCTAAAGTGAGTCATGAGAGCTATCAGTCTCTCACTTTCTGCCTTCCGTGTAAAACACTAACATATATCACTTTTCTTTCTTTCTTTGACTCACCTCCCAATGCACCTTCCCAAGAAAAGCCCCAAAAGGTTTTAAATCACCATTTGATTAAACATCTGACTCTGTCTCATCAGTGGTCAGTTGAGCATTCTAAATAGATGTTGAAGAGCCAGTGTAGGCAACATGCATAGCTAGAGATGTCTAAATGTGTGAAAAGCATAGTGAGAATGTTATTTACTCATGAAGATAAAACATTTATAATTGACCCAAGACTTCACTCTTCAGATTTTGAAAAATCTCTGCTCAAAGAATTGAAGCGTCTGGATGACTACTTAAACACCCCACTTCTGGATGAAATTGATCCAGATAGTGCTGAAGAACTCACGGTTTCCAGAAGATTGTTCTTGGATGGAGATCGGCTGACACTGGCTGACTGCAACTTGTTACCCAAACTGAACATTATTAAAGTAAGTTTTTATAAGGCAGATTGAATAGTTTGGGGAGGGGTTTGTGAGTTGCCAGCACAAAGCCCAGTGACCTTCCAGTGTGAGGTTGTTATGTGATGTCTTTGTCGTCATCATCATCATCATCAATAAATAGTGTATATCTCCCTTTTGCTCCTCAGAGGAAAGATCCATAATGTCCTCCTCTGGGAAGCATAAAAACTTCTTGTTTCTTTCTAAATCAGACGGTATTTTCCACTGCCTTGTCTGTAAAACCAGGATAACAATTCTACTTATTTAACAGAATTGTTGAGAGAATTAACTAAATTAAAGCATGTAAAATGCTTAGCACTATACCTAGATCATAACAAATGATAAAAATATGGACTATTAATATTATTAGAATGATTTAATCATTAATTTAACAAATATTTATTGAACAGTACTTTATCCCAGGCCCAATGCTTGATAGAAAATACATAAAGAAACTAGACATAACCAGGGCCCTAAATAAGCTCTTAGTCTACTGGGGAAGGTATGTGCTCCTTTTCTATGTTCTCTTCCTCTAAATATATTCATAATTAAATAAAGTATCGATATAAACATATGATTGCAAGCTTTGTCTACATTGGTAGACAAAACATTAAAGTAGTAAATCCAAGATTCTTTAAGGAAATGTAGTTTATTTTATAGTACTTTTTGAGTAGATAAGATGTCCTCACTAATCTTAATTTTTGAAACATGATTCTACATAGTATGCATATTACTTGTTCCTTTTATGACCAACTGATTTTTCTTCTTTCTTCCAAAACTCAAGGTTGCTGCCAAAAAATACCGTGACTTTGACATTCCAGCAGAATTCTCAGGAGTCTGGCGCTATCTCCACAATGCCTATGCCCGTGAAGAATTTACCCACACGTGTCCTGAAGCCAAAGAAATTGAAACTACTTATGCAAGTGTGGCTAAACAGAAGAGTTAGGACAACTCTTCCAGCAGGAAAACTTACCTTTGTTATCAGATTTCATTTATTGTCATATTAGAAAGGTTTTTGGAAACAAGAATATGGCAAATACTGTTTCCTCTATCCAACTCTCATTAAAAAGAACTCTGTATTTTCTGTATCTATTTAGCCACAGTCTGCCCACTGTGTATTTTACAGATCTTCATATTTTTCCTTTATTTTCTTTATGCTCAAGGCATAACCACTACAATCTTGAATGACATGGAAAGCATCAAGATGTTTTGCTCTTTGCTTGAATTCCTAGAATGCATTGTGTGTAAGCTAAAAATAGGTGTCTACAGTTACAAATTGTATACCGTATTTTTTCGCAAATAATGCGCCCACGCATATAATGCACGGAAATGATGAAATTAAATAAAACAGTTCTGGCATAGAGTGGCCATGCATATACTGCACATGTCCCATGACATTTCCTGAAGTGAATTTCAGCCTCATTCACCCATCCTCCCATATTACAAGTAAATCATATCGTTCTGTTCATTTTCTTTAATCTCCTGCTTATGTGTATAAAAATAATCCAAAAATGTTACTTCTGTAGTTCTTCGTCAGTCATGGAGTCCCACTGCTCCATCAACATGAAGTCCCAGTGCTCCATTCACAAGAATGAGGAAGATATTTTATCAGGAAATTGCAAAAGTTAAATTTTGTAAATCACTTTTGATCTACCAGTAAATAGTTTTGGCTTAAATTCTAAGTAATATAAAATCAATACCTACTTTAGGTGAAGTTTCCATGTGATCAGAAATAGAAATTGAAGTCAGCAACATGTAAAAAAAAAAAAATTGGCATAACGTGCTTAAGAAAATAATGCATGGGGGTGGGGGCGTGGTTTCCTAGGTTGGCAAAAAATGTATAATGTGCATGTTATTTACTAAAGATATGGTAAGTAGAGCCACAATCCCAAACTGCTGCTTATAAAACATTTCCATTCAAATTATTAAAACAATTTTACATTTATGTTAGTTTAATACATACGTGAGTTTATTTCTGAGTTGAATAATGAAGTCAGAGAGTAAGCACATCAGAGAGGTAAACTCTAAAAGAATGGTTAAGAAAATCAGATCTACGAAGAGATCAAGACCAACTAGTCTTAGACTAATATTCAGCATCTCCTCATAGTCATAGTTCCATTACCATGTGTACTCAAATGCATGTTAAAGTAATTTCAAATTATTCAAATCTATCCTTTTCTTAGCCATATCTTTATTTTCTGATGCTAGTAGTTGATATTTTTTAAATAAAAATAAATTTATGATCGCTAACAAAATATTTATAAGTATACAGTATCTTGCAATATACTCCATTTTTTCCACTTATCATTGTCATGTTTCTCTCTTTCCATTATTATTATTATTATTTTAATCTAACAAGGGTCCTCAACTCCTCTGTGAAGAGGAACACAATTTTTGTCCAGGGCATGTGAGAATAGGAAAAGAAGGTATGGTGAAGAGTTCAGGGGCACTGACTGCAAAGGCCTTGAGGGAGATTGGGGAGGACAGTACTCTTAGCCCTACTTCCTGGCATACGTCAGAGAAAGGCCGATTCAGCAGCAACCATCTGGGAAAACTACCAGCACACTCAAATCTACTGGAACAAAGAAAAATACAATGTTATTATAGGGTTTGAGGGAAGGGTAGAGTTTAGGTAAAATTTAAATACAGCAGTTTTTTAATAGGTTCAAGGAAAAGTAAGACAATGAGTAAAGAGTTAACATCAAGCTGAGAAAGGGCCCAGAGTCCTGACCTTGGAAACCACAGAGTCAAGATAAATGAGAAATAACGAATTAATGAAGTATTTACTGAATGAATGAATGTTATTTTAAGCCACTAGTTTTTGAGTTGGTTTGTTAGGTAGTAAAAGCTAATTGATTTCTTATAATGATATTTCCTGGCATCCTCAGGAAGAGAGATCATGATGAATTTAAAATGAATCAAGCAGAGGCAGGGCTCACTTTCTGATTCTTTAACTGACGGACACCCATAGAACTCCATCTAGCTAAAGAGGAAAAAGTAGACCCTATTTGGTGACGGGATCCCATTAGAAAGGGATAACATAGAGAAGTAAACAGGAGACAGGCAAATTGTCTGACACATTCCTAAAATGGCAAAGCCTTTCTGAACTGCAAACAATGCAGATACGGAGCTTATCCACAGCATCCCCAGGCAGTAGAGGGGAGGTAGAGAGGAAGATATGGAAGAAAGACATCAAGGGGCCCTAAAATGTGCACATGGCCCACATCCTATAGATCACCTCTACTATTCTTGGGGCTCATTTCACTCAAGATTTTGCCAATTATACCAAATTGTGGTGGGAATAAAATACTCCCATGGAATCAGAATTTTAAAACAAGGCTACTATTTATTAGAAAGAAGGAGGTAAGTGTATAGCAGCCAGTGTCTGGGATAGGCTTTCTTTTCTGGATGTTACAACCTAAGATCACCTCTAAGATTTGCTTCGTGGTCAGCAGGGGAGGAGGGGCCTGACACATTCAGGTATAGAAAATGAGACCTAGTGACATTCAGCAGAAGAGGGGATGGTGGAGCTAGTTGTTAGTTGTCATAAGTTAGGAAACTTCAAAAAGGCTATTTATGAACACTGTCTTAGGCTGGGTTCTCTAGAGAAGCAAAACCAGTAAAGTGTATAAATATGTATAGAGAGATTTATATCAAGGAAATGACCTGTGCAGTTGTAGAGGCTGGAAGGTCCCAAGTCCATGGATCAGGATAGAAACTTCTAATTCGTGTAGCCTCAGGGGCTGGCGAACCCAAGCTCAACAGGTCAGCGAGCAGGCTCTTGATCACAAGCTGTGAAGATCGATGAATCCCAAGATTGGCAGGCAAGATTGCAGGTAAACTGCTAGCTCAAGCCCCAAGAATCGGAGGTCAGACGAACAGGAGCCAGCTGCAGTATTCAGCATGAGCAAAATGCCGCCGAGCCTTGCCAGAATGTCTGCTTATATTCGATGCAGGCCACACCCCCATGGAAACTCCCTACCGACTAATTGGCTACTCACAGCAGATCCCATCATGAGAATGATCACATATCAAATCTCAACAGGGAAGTGATCATAACATTATACAATTGCCAAAACACTGAGAATCATGGCCCAGCCAAGTTGATACACAATTGTAACCATCACGGTCCACCCCTTATCAACTTAGCACCTGTACACATCTCCCCAAACCACACTTAATCTCTGAATAAAGACAATTACAAAGTCATACCTGCACCCAACATGATAAAACTAACATGCGTACAATCGAAAACACACTAGCCCCATTTACATCTTAAATTTTATAAGTGAAGGAAATGAAAACATTTGATGCATACATACAAAGCAGAAATACTCATAATAATTACAGTCCCCATTTCCGCAACTGATCACGTGGCCGTAACTGGTATTTAGAACTACCTTCTTCCACCACCCATTCTGTATTCCCTTTGCCCTCAGCAAGCACCTCAGCTGGTCGTGGTTGTTTGCCTGGTGGGGTGACCCAAACCTTCATTCCTGAGGGGTCTGGGTCATTAGTAGTCATATCTGAATTGGGTTGCTGTAGTTTCGACTGACGTTAATCACAGGACACGGTAGTACTAAGAGACAACCTAAGGGAGCTTCTGCATACTCTTCTTTACCTCCATTATGAAATATCAATCCAATTTCCTCTTGGTAATCAGGATCAGTCACACCAGCCAGTATGGTAACTTCCTTCTTTGCCTGTTGATCCAGAGACATAAGGAGCCCAAAGTGGCCAGGTGGCATTCTTAGCTTCCAGTTCAATGGAATCAGTGACGTGTCTCCAGGTGGGAGCATTCCTTGCTTAGGAACTAAGACCTCTAGACCTGCAGAGCATAAGGTCACCGGGACAGGAAGCAAAAATCTTGCAAGTGGGTCACTAGGGGTAATAGTGACTGGTGCCACTCCCATTTCCACCCCTTGATTCCTGTACCCAAGAATCCTAGCTATGAGAGAAACAACACCATATATTGGACACTGGTTTAAAGCATATACAGCCTCCTGGAGAATATTGCCCCAACCCTGCAAGGTGTTGCCACCTAGCTGGCGCCATAATTGTGTCTTTAGAAGGCCATTCCATCCATCGTTCTATCAAGCCAGCTGCTTCAGGATGATGGGGAACCGGATAAAACCAGTGAATTCCATGGCATGGGCCTATTGCTGCACTTCATTTGCTGTGAAGTGACTCCCTTGATCCGAGCCAATGCTGTGTGGGATACCAGGATGGTGGATAAGGCAGGTAGTTTTGGCAGAAGCATTATGTGTAGGGACTATCCAGAATAAGTGTTTATTCCAGAAAGAACAAAATGCTGCCCTTTCCATGGTGGAAGTGGTCCAATGTAATCAACTTGCCACCAGCTTGCTGGCTGATCACCTCAAGGGATGTTCCCATATCGGGGACTCAGTGTTGGTCTCTGCTGCTGGCAGATTGGGCACTCAAGCAGTGGCTGTAGCCAATTCGGCTTTGGTGAGTGGAAGTCCATGTTGCTGAGCCCATGCATAACCTACATCCCTGCCACCATGGCCACTTTGTTCATAAGCCCATTGAGCAATGACAGGAGTAGCTGGGGAAAGAATATGAGTGGTTTCCACAGAACGAGTCATCCTATCCACTTGATTGTTAAAATCCTCCTCTGCTGAGGTCACCCTTTGGTGAGCATTCACATGTGACACAAATATCTTCACTTCTTTGGCCCATTCAGAGAAGTCTATCCACATACCTCTTCCCCATACCTCCTTGTCACCAATTTTCCAATCACGTTCCTTCCAAGTCCCTGACCATCCAGCCAAACCATTGGCCACAGCCCATGAATCAGTATATAATCACACATCTGACCATTTCTTCTTCCAAGCAAAGTGAACATCCAGGTGCACTGCTCGAAGTTCTGTCCATTGGGAGGATTTCCCTTCACCACTGTCCTTCAGGGAGGTCCCAGAAAGAGGTCGTAGTGCTACCACTGTCCACTTTTGAGTGGTGCCTACGTATCACACAGAACCATCTGTAAAGCAGGCATGAGTTTTCTCTTCTTCAGTCAACTGATCATAAGGAACTCCCCATGAGGACATAGGTGCAGACTGGGAGATGGAAAGTAATGTGACAGGAGTAGAGACAATGGGCATTTGGGCCACTCCCTCATGCAACTTACTTGTGCCTTCACGTCCTGCTTGGGCCCGATCTCATATACACCACTTCCATTTAATGATGGAGTGCTGCTGTGCACATCCAACTTTATGACTCTGTGGGTCAGATAACACCCAGTTCATGATGGGCAGTTCAGGTCACATGGTGACTTAGTATCCCATGATTAAGCATTCAATCTCTAT